TTTTTCTCAAAACCATATAAAATCACATTATAACATCGAAAGACCCAAAATATAAAACGAAACATTATAATCAAGATGTATTTTGTTGTATTACGCGAGTATTCTTCTAATCCTTTTTAATGTTTTTGATGGTTACTTAAACTAGTTAACGTTAGTGTATCAATTTGTCATTTATTTTTGATGGGAAGGTTTAATGCGATGATTTTGAGAACAGGAAAATATTGTATTATATATTATCATAAAAAATATTTTGTCAATAAATATTTGATTCATTGATGTATTAGTGAATAGGCCGGTTGAGTTTCGATGAGAATAAGAGCTATAATGAGAAGATAAGAACAAAACTTTCATATACATTCAACTATCTTTATTTATCATCGTGATCGTAACTTTAACAAATTCATACATATGAGAGTGATTAAATATATGTAACAATTTGTGAAAATGACTTTAAAATGAAGATAAAAGTAAATGAATGTAATTGATGGTAGTTGAAGATAGATGAATGTGATTAAAAGTGCTGAAAGTAGTTTAAAAAAATTAAGTTAGATTAAAAGTCAACTCAGAAGCGCTATCACCATTCTCATTATAAATATTATTTTCACATGATCCTTCGTCTTAGCGTTTTATGAATATACAGTTCTCAAAATATTTACAACCTCTCCAATTAATGAAAGCAAGTTTTATTTTTTATGATGTATTTGGTATGTGAGACAAAATAGAATACGACAAAACAAAAACTTATTATCCACGTTCGTCAGGAGATTAGACTGGATCAACGAGACCGAGTGAACCCATAATGCATTTTTTTACAGACGAAATTAGTGAAACAAAAATCAAAAAAATATGACAAAACCGGTAAAATATAAAACTATCAACGTTAAATTAAAATCTTTAAACCTTATATAATTCCTTCACCGATATACTTCACTCTTAGATGTTTCATTTATTCGATTAAATTCACATACCAAAGCATCATTATTTGTTATTATTGATTGGCAATCAATGAATTACAATCCATACCATGAACATGAACAAAAAATGGTTGTGTAGACATGGGACTTTACTCTTAGCAATAAATGAATTTGACCAAAGGGTACATTTCTAGGTTGTCACTTCCACATTCATAAGTGTAACAAATTTTGGGTTGTTTTGAATCATATTAAGATTTCTTACATCTTAAAAATATAACGGAAAGTCGAGCAAAATCCAATAATTTTTTTGTTTTAAATGATTACTTCTCTATTAAAAAAAATAAACTATCTAATCTTTTCATTTTTCTTATTTTAAATAATTAAGTTTTTTAACATTTTTTTTAATAAATAAATGATGGAGTTTTTCAAAGTTAGACAAGTAAACACTTTATAAACCGTGCATGGCACTTGCCTTGCTTTACAGCATCTATTTGTATGAATCTTTTTGTGGCAAAAAGTGAGCTTCACCAAAAGTATAGGGATGGTTTATGCAAATCAACCGAAGATCTATTAGATGGATGAATAATTTCCCCCAATACAGCCTGGAAAGTTTTTTTTTTTGAGTGGTCGGTCATTACCCTCTCAATCACCCTTTTTCCCTTTTTATCCTCATGTTTTTAAGGGTTACTTTTGTCAATTATTAATAGTGTCATTCGAAATAATTGATTTCAATTTAATCATTAACATTTGTATTCTTTTTGTTGTCTAAAAATTATTCCTTTTTTTTTTTTTTTTACATATTTAAGTTAAAACATATATATTATGATCATTATTGATTGATAAATAAATAATTTTAAAAACAGATTTCAATTAAAAAGTATGTTTTGTATTTTAAAATGTTTGCAAGATACTAAATTCATCTACATGTAAGAAAAAATAGGAGTAAAAATCCAAATTTGCTTTTGATGATTACCATCCAAATTGAAAGTCAGAAAAGTTCCACAAATTAAGTCAAAGAAAGATGAAAGCTTACAACTTTACCACTTTGCTCCATTTTTCAAGTGTTTTTCTCCACATTATCAATTAAAAACCTGAAAATATTTGAAACAAATTTGAGTTGAATTCAGATAAATTTATCACCGTAAAAATATGTGGAATCATGTTATATTACTCTCGAAAAGTGTTGTTGAAAAGAGAAAAAAAAAGTTTGAACATAAGTTTTTTCGACTTGGGACTCTCACCCCCTCCAGGCTCCAACAGAGGTTAAACGGGTGCATATTGTCCTGAAGTGTCGAGAGGGGATTAGACAAGTATATATTATTTTAAAGTGTCGAGTTCTTAAATTAGTAGATATTGATTTTGATATCATATTACTCTTGAAAAAAGGTCAAACTGAAAAGAAAATCCAAACATATATAAAAGATAATAATTGACTTCAAATTATGTGTTATTGATAGTGAGTTAATCATTGAAATTAGAAAATGACATATAAACCCGTTATCGTTTTTCATTCTCATGTGAGACAATTCTTTTCATACCAAACACTTATTTTAAATTTATTAATTTTCCATTCAATTGAATTAAAATTAAAATAAAAAATAAAAATTACATAGGAATGAAATGACATGATAATAAACCCAAATGTGTGTTGGAAGCAGCCGACCGTGGGATCCAAGGGGCACCGACTTTGAGTACCACGTGTGAATGAATGCATTCAGGATGTCCAATGTAAATACCAACAGTCTACACGCTTTTCATTACAAACAACTTCCCTATTCACATTACAAATATTTGAGTTTACCTTTTTTTTTTTATATATATATGGAGGAGAGACCCCTCCTATCAAGTAAAAAAAAAACCAAAAACATTGGAATAAAAGACGTGCTTGGATGGGAGCGAACCACATTCACCAAAATAGAATCAAGGCTGTGTTTAAATCATTTGCAAATTTTCTAGTTTTAAAAAATCTTGAAAATAATAATAAAAAAATCTTGTAACGTAAAAAAAGACTTAAACTAACAACTTGTAAAAAAAAGTTTTAAAACCAACTTTTATAATAAAACAGAGTTTATTGGACGGACTAACAATCGATGAACTTAATCATACAAATTTCAAACTAATATACAAATAATAAGACAACTCTTCATGTGTTTTCTTTACGATTATACCTTAAGGGTTTAACTTATACTTAATTAAGAAGGTACACACCATATATAGTTGTTTCCACAGTTGTAATGTTACGTCTTTTATGGTTTTTTCAGCAATATAAAAAAGTAAATGAAATGATAGAAAAGTTGGTGATAAAAATTGATGATATATGAAATTCTATAAGTTAGTAAAAAAAAAAAGTATAAACGGATGAGCTGTACGATGTGTGATGACGTCTTAAAATATAACTATGTTATAAATTAAGTATTGTTTATTGGATGACGTGTTAATTTGATAATATGAAAAGTTAATTTTGTAGATTATATGATATAATCTTCATGTTACATACAGAAAGTGCAACGGGGCCTATAAATCAAATTTGATTAAACAATAATGTTAATGAATGAAAATTCATTATTTAACTTTAGCAATTAAATTTTCATTCCGTAAACAATAATAATTAATTATATTTTAAAAAAAAGCTAAATAATAGATATATTAAGACTTTCTCACTAGACTCCTTGCCTACTAAATCATATGAAAGTTAAAATATTTAAAAAAAATGACGTATCTTAATTAATTGGCGAGACATGAACGAGACGTCTGATTTTGAGACAAGTGATATTTATCTCATTTACGATGACTTTCAGTCCATTGGGGATGACCCGAAGGATTAGTCGATGCACGTAAGTTTGCCTCGGAACCCACAATTATTTAAAGAAAAGAACATTCATAAAATTAAAAGGAGATGTCATTATGTCCAATCTTAGAGGGTCCGTTTGGTTTACAGACAATATAAGACAAAACAGAACATGATAAAACAAAACAGTTGTTCAGTGTTTGGTAAGACGAAAATGGACGTAACAAAACAAGTAAATGATCAATTTACTCCTAATGAGTTGTTTATATATTTTGATTACTTTATATAATTTATTAAATTATAATAAAGTAATTATTTATATAAAAAATATCATTAGAAAGTTTTTGTCAAAATAATTAAACTGACACCAAAATAAAAAGTTTATGTAGTTTCGATTTTTATTTTATTCCTTTTATACATTATTTATTAATATATAATGAATTACATAAATTAACAAAAATATAGATACCATATAAAAATAATATTTTGATAACAGCAAAGTGAAAGTTAAAAAAACATAAAATACAACAAATAAATTTTAAAGAATGAATAAAATATAAAAAAAAAGACTTATTTAATGTTTAAAAGAAAATTAAGTTTTATTTTATATTGATAAAATATAAATTTGTTCCACCTCGTTCCGTGGAGTAGAGTTGAAACATGTTTGTTTCACTATGTTCCTGTCTATTATACATAAAAATCATGTCAAACATGAAACAATAATTTTTACTGTGTTTTGTCATATCCTATGTAGTGTACCAAACACATCCAAAAAGAATCGAGAGGAGTTTTATTTAAACATTTTACTTTTTAAATGAAAAATATTAGAAATATAAAACAAAATAATTCAATTTGGCGTTAAGTTTATGTTTGACTATATGGCGTCGCATTGAGATTAGGGGCCACATCTTATTGTATTCTTACAATAATTCTAATTTGGAATGACCTTTAATCATATATAATTTTTTTTTTGAAGCAATAATATATACTTTTTAATTCATGTATTTTCTTCTAAAGTCAAGTGAGTTTTGATGGTGCCGTTACATTTGCACGCTAATAAGTAACGATTATGCTAGAAGCATCAATTATTTTCTTTAAAAAAAAATCATAATAAGATCCTAATAATTCTTTTTATATTTATTGACGAGCTTAATATTCTTTTAGACGGTGCATCGCTTTTATGATAAAAAACGTGTATGGCGAACATTTATGATCGTTAATGGGTGTTGTTTGCGATCCTCAAATCATAACATCCTCCAAAACGCTCCACCTTCACCACTTCTCTCTCTCTCTCTCTCTCTCTCTCTCTCTCTCTCTCTTTGTTCTGTGAAAATGGTGGTCGTGAAACAAAAAGTCAACACTTTGATCTTATTACTCATTGCATCACTACTCTCGATCGTAGCTGAATCCAACAAATGGGTCGGTTCTAAATACCAAATCGAATGCACAATGTGTGCCGCCTGTGATAACCCATGTAATCAACCCACCCCCTCTCCACCACCACCGTCGCCTTCCCCACCACCACCATCGGTACCCAAACCCTCCTCACCGACAACACCAATTTGCCCTCCTCCGCCTTCTACCCCAACCTCCGGTGGCGGTGGCGGCAGCGGCTACTATAATCCACCTCCACCAAGCTCTCAGGGCCCTTACTACACCTACCCACCACCGCCGTACAACAACAACTACCCTACCCCAGAACCTCCTAACCCAATTATGCCTTACTTTCCCTACTACTATTACAGTCCTCCGCCTCCTTCATCCTCCGCCGTGTCAATTGCCGGAACAACCACTCTCTTCTTACTCAACTTCATTTTGGTCTGGTTCTTTTAGTTTTCTGAAAATTTGAACTGAAGAATAAAAAGCGTCAGGGTTCACAGATCTACAAAAAGATCAGGCAAGATTCGAGATTGATGAATTCCCAGAAATACCCATCAAGCGTTGATCAATTTACGGAGGAGTTCGTTGGAATCTTGATGATGATGGCTGAAAGTGGAAACGCACTCTCTGTCTGTCAAGTAATCTGTAAATTCTTGAAAGTATATGTCTCTTTTGGTAATTTTACTGTCTATTTTAGCCTTAAATATTTTACATTAATGGTTAAGTAACAACCAAAATTTCCCCATAATTATTAAATTTCAATCTGCTTTATATTTTATTTTATGAGTTCATTGATTGTTGCAATATTTGATGTGGGATTTTGTGTTAGCGTTATTTTTAATTATGAGTCAAAATAATTTACCAAATTGTAGAAATTATTTAATTAGGTGTTGGTGATTGAGATGATTAGATTATTGTTATTAGTATTAGCTTTCCAGATCGAAATATGCTTGTGAATAGTTGTACACATTCAATTTCTGATTCTGCTTTAATTCATACATATTCTATAGATACGCATCTCCATTTAAATAAAATTGGTTCAAAAGTGTTCAGAGTGTCGTAATAGATCATTTTATAAGATAGAACACAAGTTTGTTTCAGTTAAAGGTGTGTTGTAATAAGTTTATAGAACGACTTTGATGGTCTTAACAAACTTGTTACAAAGTATCTTATAAATCTTGTATTTAAAATGGATAAATGGATGTTGCTATGGGGGTGTTTAGGATTGCTTATCTGAAACAACTTATATTTTTTTTTCTATAAAAACACTTATTTGCTTATTATAAGTCAGAAGGGTTTAACTTCTTCAAAAACTTCTTATTACCGGTTGGCACCGATATAAGTTGTTTATTCAAACACTCAAAAATGCTTATTATCGATGTTACACCAGAATAAATTAATAAATTATTTTTATAAGGATATCCCAAACACCCCCTATGTCCACACCCCTTTACTTTTAACTAGTAAAAACTATATTATATTGGTCACTTTTTTTCCTCTTTCATCTTTATCATCATTATTCTTTATCATTATATTCATTATTAATCATTTTCATTTTCTCTATCATTTTCTATTTTTATAATTATATTATTGTATTTACATGTTTGTAGATAATTATTTAGTTTTTTTAATTTATTTTTAAATGTTGATACGTATTTATAAGTTAAATTGATATATATATATATTGTATTTCAAATGTATATTCCTTGTACAAGTAATCAAATGCCTATATAATGTAGAAACTACTATATCATATAGAGGTAACATTTTAATTTTAAACATACACATTTTTGCAATAAAATGTTGAAATAAATTGATGTGGAATTAAAAAAATATTGAGATAAAACTAACTTTATTTTATTTTTATATTTATTTAACAATCAACTTTTTAAACCTTTAGAAATTGATTTTACAGACACTTTAGGATTTTGATGAGTAGGTAACCATTTACTCCAAAGTAATTTTGATAATTTTATATTTAATTAAAAAGTCACATATTTTTATTTGAGAACTTAAAATAGAATTAATTGTTCAATATTTTAATACGTTTATTTATTTTATTTTTTACTTTCCTTGGGTTTCTTGATTTGTTCTAGGTTTCAATGTCCTTCCATTACGGCATTTGGGCTTGCGTGCTCTCTTAACCTCTTTCCAAGTTCCAATGTCGACTAGGCCGCTATACAAACCTTTGCTAGTTTGGGTTGAAAACAATTGGAACTTAATGTTTATGGTTTAAAACTTAATTCATACTAGTTGTGTACCCGTGCAATGCGGTGGGAGCCATGAATTTTAACGATTTTGAAGTTCCATTGGTTTTATAAGATAAAATTTAACGATGGTATAAGTTACACTTGGTCTTATATATTAATACAATTTGAATAAATAAGAGTTACGGTTCCAATTACAGATTATCGATGAAAAAAATTGTATGACAGTTTAAAATCCAATATATTTAAAATCCAACATATTTAAACGACTCCACAAATGTGTTCAATTTACATAAAGAGCAAAGAACCAAGAAACTTGAGTTTTAAGATAAACACTCAAAACCAATAAAGAAAACTACAAATTTGACAGATCATAAGCCATGAAAAGACAAAAAAAGATGGGTTTTAGAATGAAACTTCAACTGCTTACCCTCTTTCTTGTCCAGAAACTCAGATTAAGGTTGAATTAATACATGTATATATATATTTCAAAAAAACCCAAGAACATATTAATTCAGAACATATTATACAGTGCAATTTGGACAGCCTAACCCCAAGATAATATATATATATATATATATATATATATATATATATAAACAAATAACTATAAAAGTATAAATCATAAATATTAAAAATATTTTTTCACAGTATATATAACATATAATAATATAATTAAGTCAAAAACTATTCAATATTSGACTCGTTTCGAAGGTATTAACGAGACGATTATAATGGTGTAACTTRTTAAAATAAAAATGTATTTTTTRAACATGTTTTAATTGATATACGATTATGTATGTTAATTTGATAAADGTTTAAAATRAAACATTTAAAARYAAAKGACGTAAAGTAAATTAATTAACTAACTATAGGGGTATAAAGTGAAAAAGTAATATAAAGAGTATCTTGGTCATTTAGAATTTTAAGACTTTAAGACTTTTAATAAATTTGCTTAATAAGATAGTATATATTATAACCTAAACTCAATCCAAATCTTATCAAGTTGAAAGTTTGATACATTATTTTATAATCTAAATTATTACATATCTTAGGTAACGATTTAACAATCATATTTTGGCAAAAATTTGATTACTAACAATTCCAACATAACTCATTTAATAGTCATATTAAATCCAAGATATTGGATTTGATTCAATGACTATAACTCAATAATAAAGTGGTGGTACATACTATTACTAATTATATTGTACAATTATTTTTATTTTATTATATTATATTATAATTATAATTATTTTGTACTACTGTTAGGAAAAATCCATGTGCAAACAACAAAAAATATGGTCGAGATCCTAGTGTATTTGAGGTTATCCAGTGTACTATTGAGTTTGATAGCAAAAAAGCAATGTAAATGGGTCATAACTTACTCGTTGTTCGTAGTTTCATCATCGTATATGATTGTTGATCGTTGGTTGTTGTCAAGCCAATTATCATCCCTAAACCTCAACATTCGACTCACAATACAATATTATTGCCCATAAACACGTATGGTTTGATAAGCAAGTCTCGTTTGACAATTTTGTTTTAAATATAAATTCAAAACTAAAATATCTAATTTATCTAAAATATATTTTAGTTTTTGATATATACAAATGAATGATTAGTGCCCATAAATTGTTTTTTTAGAAAAAATTTCATAAATCTATCTATGCTATTTTATAAAAATGTAAGTAAACTCTTAAAAAAATAATTTAGCATGTACCGTGTTATATATAACTAGTGTGGAAACCGTGCGTTGCGTGATAGCATGAATACTTTGATTAATAATCAGAAGATTATATATATAAATATATGTTAGTTATTATAGTATTCAAATAATTCGAGAAAGTTAATAAAATCTAATTATTGAAATTTTAATATATATATATATATATATATTTTATAGAGATAGAGAGAGAGAAAGATATTGTTTAGGAATAAAGTTGTAAAATTAAATAAAATGAGTAATAATAACAATGGGGTGTGGATAATTTATACATTGTTGTCTGATTGATGATGAATTTTTTTTCTTTTTAAAAAGAGGATGATACATTTGTCGATTTTTATTAAGAAATAAATAAGTGTACGTTTAAATCGTATGATAACTAATTATATGTACAAAAAATATGGTAAATAGAAACTTAGTCTATAAATAATATGAAAAAATATTAACCGATCATTAATACATATAAATAACTATAGAGAATTATTCATTGTTATAAGACGAATGATGTTCACAAATAACAAAATCAAAATACTTCATTCGTCATAAAATAAGTGTCCATGTTTTTATTTTAGTTTGTCACAAATTAATTGTTCACTTTCAAAAGGTAATGTCTACTTTCCAACCCTACTCTTAATTATGAGATAAGGAATTCATTAATCTCTCACTTATGAATGATAGAAATTGTCATTTAGTTAAATAAAAAATGTAATGATTACACATTTATAAAATTTTGGATATGTATTTTGGGACTTAACCATGTGTTAATACAAATTTCAAAGTACAAATCAATAAATAAATGTTTTTAAATGCTAATCTATAAATATTATTTACTATCACTAATATTCTAATTATT